AAGTTTTTTGGAAAAGCTTTTTTTTTTTTTTTTTTTTTTTTTTTTTTTTTTTTTTTTTTTTTTTTTTTTTGCTCTAAGGCACTTGCCAGAAGACAAAGAGAGATAGAGAGACAGAAAGAGAGAAGTCCCCCCCCCCAGGGAGATGGCCATGCCACAGTCCCTTGTCTTCCATTTTCCTCTCGGGATCTTGGGCATGCACACACACACGCCTAGCATGAATTTAAGCCACCAGGTCCAAGGCTCGAACTGCAGTCGAATACATGGGAGTCCAGTGACATAGCCATTACGCTAACCGCTGTTCTCTTGATACAAAGCCAAGGTTGCTAGAAGAAGGACAAAAGAGTTTGGAGTCTAGGAAGAGAAGGGGTGATGGAGACTGAGCTGCATTTGACAGCAATTGAAAAGGCCATTGCAGCAACACCGCCTTGGAGGGCTCCTAGCTTGTTTCTCCAGGCCCAGAGCAGGAAGAAGTTCAAGAAACTGCCTGGTGCAGGCTGAAAGAATGTCCAGCTATTGAATTCCATAACTCAGCTCGTCAGTTGCCTCCACATCTGGACACCCCTGTTGCTGGCCTTGATCCATCTACACCCTCAGAACACTTAGCCTGACAAAGGTGATTTGTAAAATCTGGCTATTTTGGTTTCAAACAACCACAGGGATTTCTGCCTGAGCAGAAGCCTTCCGGCATCGGAATGTCGCCATTGCAGCCGGAGCTTGCTTTGCTTTCTCTGCATATCCTCAGCACTTCAGCATGGCGAAGCAAGCCATGGATTTCATCTTGGTTTATTTAGAGTTGGCTATTTACTATCCATTCGTTTTCTTTTCAACAAAATAGATTTACTATAAACACAATATTTTTCCCCAAACAACACAGATACTAACAATGAAGGAAAAAAATAAATAAGACTGGCAATATTTATATGAGCACCCTTCTTTTCTCTGACCCCATCACTCAGCACTTTACTCTCACCCTGCTGCTTCCAGCCCCCAAGGGCTGCCTTTATCTGAGGACATGGGACTAATCCCTTTATGTTGATTATTTCATTCTCATAACATCCCACAGTGTAGTGATTATCATGCCCATTTTACAGATTAGAAACACAGAGGTTCAGAGAGGTTGTGACCTGCCCCAGGGCACACAGCTAATAAGAGCTGGACTTCAAATCCAGATTGTCCTTATTTCCAAAAATCAAATCTACAAAGAAAAACAGCTATTTTGACAATATTTTTACTATGTTCCAGGCTAAGTGCCTTATATACATTATCTCAGATCATTGCAGCAAATCAGTAAAGTAGTTTTTCTCTACAGTCAAGAAACCTAAGGTATAGAAGGGTCAAGTGACTAGCCCAGAATTACACAGCTGCTAAAAGTCAGAGCTAAGAAGCAAATTCAGGATTTCTGACTCCTACATCCATGCTCTTCACCATGTTCTTAACACAATACCGTCTACTCCACCCTCAGACAGATTTATGCATGTGCAGAATTACACTCTACACTGTGCTCTGTAATTTGTCTGTTTTTCTCACAAGTAAAGGTAGTGGATTTTCTTTTCTTTTCTTTGAGAGATTTTTGCTATAGGGCACATGAGCTTGACAGAGAGACAGAGACAGAAAGCGAGAAATCATCCCCAGGGGGATAGCCACACCACAGTCCCTTCTTCTCTAGTCTCCTCTTGGGATTTTGGGCACCCATGTACATGCACCCGACATGAGTTTTAAGCCGCCAGGTCCAGGACTCAAACCACAGTCGACTACATGGAAGTCCAGTGATGCCATCTCTGGCCCCTGGGTAGTGAATTTTCAATCTTTATCTTTTAAACTTGAAACAGCCTAACCCAATCCTGCTCCCTTAAACCAACAACTAGCTGCCCCTTCACCTGGTGGTTCCTGTTCTTGACCACAGCCTGCACCCAGGCCACTGATCCCAGCTGTCTTCCCTCTACGACTTCTTGACTCCAACCTCGCTCTTGCCTTCAGTTTATTGTCCAACACCTGCTCCTCAAACCTGATGCTTCATACTGGCCACTTACCCAAACCCTGGGCTTCAAAGAAACCTTCATCCTCATGATTTAGCCATCTGACCAATCCCTAGACAGACATCACAGCCCACTCAGTCTGCTACTCAGTACTCTAACCTTCAGCACCACCCTTGCATTGCAAGCAGTTGTCACCTTCCCCCACGTTCTTGAATTGGCTCTGGCTTAATAGACAAGTCAGCAGCAAAAATCCCATTAGATAAGTTCCAAAATCCCTGTTATTACAAAACAGTATCCAATGTTATCACTCACTTAAATAGGGAGATGATAGTTTATTGGTAAATATACACAAGCTACACTCTTCTGAGGTTGAATTTTGTCCAATCACTATACTTGAGCCATGTAGCTTTGGTCATCAGCTTCTTTATCTCTTCATCTGTCAATTAATGAGGAGAACTAAGTAAACCTAAGTCCCTGGAAACACTGAAATGACAATTATTCTATGATCAGAGAAATGACACTCTCGGTAGATATTACTTCCTTCAGTCTATTTGTCCAATCATTAACCAAACTAATGAGGCTGTTTCTGCAGCTCAACTGCAAAGTTCACTTTTAGAGAGAAGAGGTGGATTAGGGGCAGCTGGACACTCCAGAACAATGCTTGAGGCCAAGCACTAAGCAACAGTGAAAGAAAATCTGGGGGATCCTCGCAGAAATGAGGAGTACTTTGGAATGAAGGAGCACGTTTGGTGAGTAGAAAACTGTTAACAGACTACAGCCAAGATAAAAATCCACTCTTAAAAGAAAAAAAAAAAATTTTGGCTTTTCCATTATTTTTTTTTTTTTTAGTTTGGCTCAATCGCTTGTTTTTCACTGTTCCTTATGTAATCTTGTGGGATGCAGCATCGAAAAGTCATAAATCATTCATGGTGCTCTGAAAAAAAAAAATCACTGTGCAAAGCAGATGCGACTTGAAATGGGAGTTTTTGCACGAAACTCAGAAGAAACACGTAACTTAGACAGTTTGTAGCCTGTGCTGATCGCTAATTCCCATAATCACTATGTGGTTTAGTAATTTGTTTCTGGTTTCTTGTTGTGCTTGGTTTTAAGTGGGGCCTGAGTTAAAGATACAGCCTGTCACCACTGCGCTGCATTTTTTTAAGAGTCAGAAAAGATACTGTAGTCTTGGCATTTTTAGGGGCAATTGAAACTGACAGATTTTTACCTCCTGCTTGAAAAAAAAACAGAAAGCCCCTTCTTTGTCCAAAAGTCCCTTTTTTATTATACTCGCACTGAGGTCCATAATTCCTGTGAGTTAATTAAACTCCCTTTGTGAAATAGAGATATTCCCTCTTCTCCAAAACACTACACAAAACCCCAAGCAAGTAGCTCCCAGCAGTGGTCACCCATAAAACTATCTTTAATGTCTTAGCAAAATTAGTTTAGCTAAATTATTTCTAAAGTGGCAGTTAGCTGTGATAAGGTTTCTAAAACGCAGGCAAATTATGTTTTTTTAACCTCTTTCATATTCATTAACTCTTCTGAGTTTTACAGAAGTAGCAAGAACAGGCATGAGTTTACTCATTAATTCATTCCTATGACAAACTTTATTGATTGCCAAACCTGGTGCTAAGGTGCTAAAGATACAGACAAGATCAGAATGCTGCTTGCCCTTGTGCCACTCACAGGGTGTGGAGTGACAGACACACAGAAACCTTGACAGAGACAAAAACTAAAATGAAACTGACTCCCCTCGCTCTAAGTCAAACAGCCAGAAAGCTCTGGAGCAGAAATTTCCTCCAGGCTTCCCAATCCTAAATTCGGAACATTCTTAACGGCATCCTATCATTCTTTGTAAATGGATACATTTTGATGGGAAGAAATAAAAAGAAAGCTCCCAAACCAAGATTCTATTATTAGAGAAATAATCTGTGCTAATTACTGTGGGAACCGAGTATAGTCTGACTTTCTTGCTTTGGCTATTAGATTCCATTTGAATTTTCTCTGAAATCTATTAATTCACTGATTTAGCCACCTAGTCATTTATCCTGCCTATGGGAGAGTCAAAGAAAGGAAACCTTCAATCTCATGGATTTCTCAAAGGGAGTCCAGTGGGTGCTCAAGTTCCTATAAGCAAAGATACACAGGGGAGATGGAGGAAAATAGTACAGAACTTTGAAAAGGCTGGAAATTCAATACAGATGATGATAGGAAGGGAAAACTTTTGGGGAAAGATGGCAGGTTGAAGCATGCCAGGAGATTCTTAGCAAAGTGAATTCAAAGCAATCAAACCTTACTAAGTATTTGAGTCCTGAAATCAATGCATAAAGCCAAACATGTACACGCAAATCACTAATAGGTGATAATCCAAAGTACCCTCGAAAGTCTCTTTAGGGCCAACCCTGTGGCCTATGTGGTTAAGGTTGCTTTGGCTATTAGATTCCATTTGAATTTTCTCTGAAATCTATTAATTCCTATTGGTCTTGACATCAATTGTTGCTTCAGATGAGTTTGTGAGTTCTCTTTGCTGGGCCATGTTGTATGAAAACTATGGATTATTCAACTATGGATCTCACATGGCCTCAGTTTGAATCCCAGCCCTAGTGACTTGAAAAAACGTGCTAGGCTCTAGTATGTGTGTGTCCTAAACCCCAAAGTGTTGGAAAAATGGAGGAGAGGGCATTGTAGAAAGACCTATATCTCGTTGGGGGGTTTTCCTGTGCTCGCTCACTCTCTCTCTCCCCCCCCCACTTGGCTTTCCCTCGAGAGTGCATGCATCCTCTAGCAATTAAAAAAAAAAAAATCCCTTTAAACAGGGACTATGTTGGAGAATAAGGTATAATCTTGCTAGAAATCCAATATAGCCACTGTTCCTATTGGTCTTGACATCAATTGTTGCTTCAGATGAGTTTGTGAGTTCTCTTTGCTGGGCCATGTTGTATGAAAACTATGGATTATTCAATATTGGGTTCATGCATAATGCAATCTGCCTGCCTGGGGGAAGCCCATGGGAGTGGAAGGTAGGGGCAGGCATCACCAGGCCCCCAGCAGGGCAGCACTCACTGCTCAGTGTGGAACAGACAGCAGAGCTGTCCCCAGCGGCGTAACTCAGCTCACTCTCACTCTCTGTCTCTATCTACCAATCTGTCCATTTTCTCTTTAGCCAACTAAATAGTCGAATGTGTGCACATAAAATTTGAATAGGATATTTACATCCATTGTAATAGGAGCAAAGAGCTGAAGTCAGTGAAGAGCTGGGCTATTCAGGAAGTAGCTCCGTGGGAGATGTAACTGGGAATTGGGGTCTGCACTCATTTCCGGAGGCTTCCATAACAAGGTCCCACAAACTCGATGGCTTATTGCAACAGCAATGTATTCTTTCCTGGTTCTGGAGGGCAGAGTCTGAAATCAAGGCGTCAGCAGGGTCACACTCCCTCATGGCAGCACAACTCTAATCTCTGCCTGCTTCTTCATCTGGCTCCTTCCCTTTGTCTGTGTCTGGAATCTCCCTCTCTTTTGCCTTTGAATGTAGGCCCCAGCCTATATCCAGGATGATCTCATCTTAAGTTCCTTAAGTTAATTCACATCTTCAAAGTAAGGCCACATTCCCAGATATGTGAGGTTAGAACGTGGTCATATCTTTCTAGAGCCACTATTCAACCTACCACAAGGCCTAAGAAAGAAAATAAAATTAGTTTGAGGGCTAACAGGCGATGGGGAGTTAAGGCAGTTGGATACCACATGGCCAACCAGATGGTTTGAGTCCTGGACCTGGCAGCTTGAAAAACATGCTGGGCATATGTGCATGCGTTCCCAAATTCCCAAGAGGAGAATGGAGGAAAAGAGATTGTGGCATGGTCATCCTCTCCAGGGGAGATTTTCCACTTTCTGTTTCTTCCTATCTCTCTACAAGTCATGGTCCTATAGCAAACTAACACACACACACACACACACACACACACTCACACACACACATGAAAGTAGGTTGAACCCTATTTGACAGACTTTGCATTTCAATTTCAATGGTTTAAGAGTCTAATTCTCTGAGGTTACAATGGTAGCAACTTTGACTTCGGGAAGTCAAAGTGGGGAGGGGTTAAATTGCTTGGCCAGCCACTTCTTGTCCCCAGTAGGTGATTGGCTAAGCCAGGCTAGAACCCAGCTGACACAAGAGACTGGGCAGCTTACTGAAACCATCTCCAGGGATACAGAACAGAGGATGGAAGGGAAAGGCATGGATCTGAGGGCAAGTGGGCCCAGCACACTATCCTTATCCCCATTTTACAGGGAAGAACACAGAGCTCAAAGGTTTCACAGCTAGTGTTAGTAGTAAGGACCTTGAAACCAGGCCAAACCACAAACCTCTGGTTTTGCCATGACTGTTTCACTACCACCATGGAAATTTCACTTGCTTTGTCCAACTGCCTTGGTCAGGAGATAGCTTGGGAATCTGAGAAATTGTTTCATGGTTACCAAATAGGCAAGAGGACCTTTTCTGGCTTTGAGATTTGGATTTTGTGAAGGACATGGGTTTGGAACCCCCTCAGGGAAGAGCCCACTGTGCCTGCTGCTATGAGTACAGTCAGCAGACACTCCAACTGTGAGCTCGAGCCCGCTGTCTCAGCAGCAAAGAACCACCTTGCCCAGGACAGAGCCCTTTCATGGCAGCCCATATTTGTTAACTAATAAAGACTCAGCCGTTTTTTAAAAAAAAATTTTTTAGAGAGGTTTTTGCTATAGGGTGCATGTGCTTACCAGAAAGACAGAGAGAGACAGACAGAAAGCAAGAAATCACCCCCCAGGGTGGATGGACATACCGCAATCCCTTCTCCTCCATTCTCCTCTTGGGATCTTGGGCACATATATACACAAGCCCAGCATGAGTTTAAGCCACCGGGTCCAGGATTCAAACTGCGTAAAGACTCAGCCTTTTTGACCCAATAGGGGACAGCTCTGAAAAGCATTGCAGTTTGACTTCTCCCCCTACCCAGTCCTCCCTCTTCCCCAAGTGTTGATCCCTAACACTGAACGTTGTCTGTGACAACCTATGATGGGCTTTGGTGCTATTATGGTTCTTATCATGGGACAGCAGTCCTCAATCTACACTGGTTGATGATGGCACCAACAGTAGTGGAAGCAATGGTGATGACCACCGTGGAAGTGGTGTCACCTCCTTTTGATTTAGACAGCCTACAAGTCTGTCTCCTGAGATTTTTCTGGTTAGTTTAGACTGACAAGCAGTGAAGCTACTGTCAGCTAGTGATTGGGTTTGGACATTTTATTGATGACCGATCTTTGCTGATCCTCCAGAATGATGCACCAGAACATTTGATTGGAAAGCCTATGGAAACCAACCATCAGCTCTTTAACCTCAACTCTTGGTTTTCATTTTTGTTTTTAGAGAGGTTTTTGCTGTAAGGTCTGTGTACTCCTCAGAGAGACAGAGAGACAGAAAGAGAGAAATCACACCCCAGGGTGGATGATGATGCCACAATCCCTTCTCTGTTCTCTCAAGATTTTGAGCATGCATGCACATGCGCCCAGTATGTATTTTATGCTACCAGGTTCAGGACCTGAATCACGGTCAACTACATGTGACTCCAGTGACGTAACCAATACATCATCTGCTGGTCCCTGTTTCTGTTTGTTTTTTGTTTGTTTGTTTGTTTGTTTGTTTTTAATGCAGAGGACAGGCATGTCTTCTGATCCACTTACTGGCTTTATAGTGTTTCCCCACTGGAATTGAAAC